CCCAGATTTATGCCGAATAGCCTCATCAGAGTCCCTTTCCGCCCAAGGTCGAAGGTATTTTGCCGCACTTACAGGCTTCGCAGGTGGCTGAGCAACTAGTACCAGTATTGTACTCCCTACGGCGTACTAGTAGTAGCCATTCCACTTCGGCCCCATCCGTCACTCGGCTTTCATCAGTTGTCTCGCTCTCCATATGCACCTCGTTTCTATTATTAAGTACTACCATACTACGGAGTACGGAGTACAGCGTCTGGAATCTACGTCGGGGCAGGGCTATCTGTTCTACTCCAGCCTGTTCTGGAATCTAACCTCGTGGACAGACAGCACTGTCCAGCCCCCGCCCATGAAGAGTCGAGTGTCCACATACTCCGTACATATGTGACATATCACGCTGCATGTGGTGCAAGTGTCACCGCCCCGCTGGATTTTTCATGCCTTTGATGTCGCCCTGCGCTTGCTTCCGTGGTTGACGGTTTGAGGCTTCTGAGCCGGACGAGACTGCTCAGTACGCTACATCTCCGTTGGCGTCTTGAGCCACGGGCAATCTGCATGATGCGACATGTTGCCGTTGTTTTTTCTCTTGTCGCTATTTGCGACGCACGTTCTGGAGTAGAGGACTGCTAATAAGTCTTCTTGATGCTTTCACGACGCGTTGAAACATCGAACTTGGCACGTGGACTCGGAAGGCCCTGCATGTTGGTGGTTCTCGCTCCCCGGACTTGTCAAACCCGGCCCGGAAGTCATGTTTTTTAATCTATCGCAAGGTTCACTCTCCACGGTTTGTTGATTCGTCGGCTCTGGCTGATCCCGAACTCGCGGCAGCCCTGGCATCAACGGCTTTTTTCCTCTTACAGAAATGCCCGCTATGCATACCCCTGTGTCTCTGGACGCTGTGTCACACCACTCTTTGCTCTCCAGCTTAGTTACGGTGTACGGAGTACTCCGTAGTCGTTGATTATAGCCGCTTCTGCTAACTACACTCCCAACCGGCTGCGCCTTGCCAGTTTGTCATGAACGTGCCCTCTTGCCGTCTCTGGCCTCCGCTACAACGGTTTCGTGGTTCCGAGCGTCCATCATAGATTGGATGTACTGTGTTGTTGTCTGCGATTTAACTGCCTTGTTGAGCGAAAATGTTCCACTCAGGTTCTCAAGCCGGCCCCTTGCAGTATCAATGTGCGTCACCTCAACATCGAACTACGCAATACATCAACTATACGGAGTACGGCATAACATGATATGGGTCAATGCGCCCTGCAACCGGCGCGTAGCTGCTCTGCCCTATCTATGGAGTACTCAATACATATGGCCCACTAGGACGCTATTCCTGGATTTGTCCCTGCTTCACTTCAAAAGACTCGGCTGCGGTGCAAGAAGACAGCTGGAGGAAGGGTCAGGTGTAAATGGTCAGTCGGTGGCACCTACGAGCTCGTGCCAACCTCCCGCCTTTGCTCTGGGGAGGTAACAACCGGATCCAAGCCCTGATTATGTGATGATCTACACACGGAGTGCAGAGAACATGTCATCTAAAATTGTTCTTGTACATGCTCGCGCCTCTTCCTCATTGTGGCAGGTTCAGTTTTAACATGCAGGGCTTTGGTAGCCGAGTGAATTGTCAATAGTCACAGGCACGCTATCTGCAAGTCCATGGGCCGACACACTCTGGCATAAAGATTGTACTATCACCAAGTGAGTTCCCTTGGGTGAAGCAGGACGGGCGGCGAATGGAAGCACCACTACAGCATTCGGTAGACTCATGGGTATGTCACCGAATCCTGCAAGGAAGGCCCAACCTGACCCAGTCGGCCATATCATTTACAACATGTCTTTCATGACTCGTCGCATGAGTATAAGGGGACAGGTCCTTTCACCTCATTCACCAATGTTATGGAGTTGGTCAAGTTTCCTCTCTCCCCTCTCCTCTCCACAGTCACATTTATCCTAAAACAAACGGACCGTGCTCTACAAAACAAAGGGATGGATATTCTTCTGCGAAACTAGCAAAACTTGGCCTTGTTTCTGCCTTGAAAACCGACTGGCCGCCCACAGACCCTGTGTTGCAAAAATCCCAAGACCCTTTCGCCCGGACATTTTTTCTTGCCGACGCCAACCTTATTCTTCCGCCGTCAAACACGTGTCATGGATGCGAAACCTGTTTATCTCAACCCTGACCTTGGCAGATGGCTTAGCCCTCTGGAGAATGCTCGAACGGCACGAAGACAATTCCAGGTAGCGGCATCGTCGCTCAAGATAGGGAGACACGAACCGGAGCAATCATATTGAAATGCTCTCTTGCCTGTTCCCCACTGCTAGCAAGTATCCTATTGATCCTATCCTACCCTCACTCGCATTTCTCCATAGATCCACCCCCGTGCCGTTGCGCCTCGATAAACTACCTGTAGCTACTCCGTACTCCGTCCCGGGGGAAAGGACGCTCCGGCAAGGTTCCTCGCATGAGGTGAGGCGAAGAACTGGTTTCCTTTTCCGCTGCAGGTCATATCCTTTCCAACATGTCATATATCATCACCCTTGTTCTGGATAGCAACACGGTGGTGCCACACCACGTCCCATATGTGCAGTTTTGGATGATGCGTCACCGCTCGTTCTCGCTCACTGCCCCTTTGCCGCTCTTACCACAAGGAAAAGAAATGACATTACCCAAATAACTGTATGATTTTCCGCTTGTAGCACCCGCGGCTGACCCGTCTCTCATCTCTGAGCTTGCCCGGCTGCTCTGGAGCGCCTTGCACGGGGAATAAGCTCGGTTTTTGTCTGGTCACCCACCGTTTTGTTCGCAACTGCAATGCATTGACGGCGCGTGAATTTCTCCTCCTCACACTCCAGGGACTCTTATTGCAAAGAGGAAAACGTGGTAGCACGTGATGGTGTTGAATGAGAAGAGAGGGTCGGTGGTGTTGCGTGTAGTATGAGCATGCCAAGGCAAGGGCTTTTCTTTGTTCTAAAAACACAAAAATGTGCCCAACGGTTCTTGCCGTCACAGATTGCTGGTGAGAGGGTGAGAAAATGAACCACGGGGGAGTGGAAACGCCTTGACAAAGACTTGCCGAAGATGATGTTGCACAATATTGGTTCAGCCGGGGTCGTGTGAACCCCATTCTGGAACGTGTTGCGGTTGAGCGGTTGAGGTCAGCAAACAGGCTCACTTTCCTAGCAGGTCTGCTTACTTCCTTGACGTAGCTGTTGATGGAGGTCAGCCAGCACCTGTTGAGGGCCGAGCCAGAACGACCAGTTGCCTGCAAGATGCTCCGTTTGAGTATCAATCATTGTCTCGAAATTGCCCAGTGAATCGTGACTGGGCCGGCATGGCTTGCGAGCAAGTCCTTCTCAACGCAGGCGCCATCCGCGAGTGCCAAGTCCTTGGCCTGGACATATCGATGCTCGAACCACCGGGGACAGGTTGAAATCAAGCAGGATCGTGCAATATTCGTAGTTTCGTCTCATGGTGTTGTGTCTCTTGGAGTCATAGGAAGCACCACAGCCATGATTCTCCTCCCCCCTGGACTCCGATTCTCAGGGTGAGGGAGTACAGAAACATGCTCGAGGCTAGACTCGCTCTATATCAAACGGCAATGTTGCCGTTGTACTTCTCTGACGGCGTAGACAGTTTCAGCATAAATCAAGGCCAAGCCTCAGACACTGTCCAGGAAGTCGAAAGTACCTTTTGTTTTTTGGATCTATCGCCTCGAGAGATAGGTCTTCACACGCGCCGGCCCCCGACGCTAGAAACACATCTTTTGTGCATCTGAGCGATCCTGCAAAGATGCTAGAATTATTATCCCACTGGAATAAACGCACGCGCACAAGGCCATTCAGAGCACCAGACAAATCGTTTCAGTTGTGAGATGCTCGAGTTGGCTGCGCCTGTCAGGTCCTTTTACGTCACATCCGAGAGAGCAAGGATATTGCCATGACAGGCAAAGGCTGTGGAGTTCAACTCATGCCTCTCCGTGTGAGAGGTGAACATGTTCTCCTCGCAGCGATCCTAGTAGCCAGCGACCTTCCCAACATCGGCCTTGTAGATGCCGCGCCGTCAGTGACTCGTAGATATGGATGCTGTGCGGCGGCCACAATGTCGAATCGGGATACATCGTCCTAGGAAAAGAGTTTCTAGTCTTGAACAATCCTGCCATGGGCAGCCTTCTCTGGAGACTTGTTGCTCTCGGCTACAGAGTTCTTGTCAGCAGGCGAGATGCTAGCAGTTCTCTCGACAGGCTTTCTTTGCTGTTGCTAAGCCGGTAGGCGGCTAGGTTCTAGATGGCGTTAGTTTGATCCATGGTGTCGCCACGGTCGACACTTGCGCTGAACGCCGAGAAGCCTTTGATGCTTTGGGCGTTCAACATGTGAGGCTCACGGCCCAAATCAACCGGATGGCCACATCTGTACACCGTGGATTCGGCGCCATCAGGCAGGTGGTAGCTGGCCAGATACTATTCTTTGTACTTGTGTACTTGAACACGTCGAGGAATATCCTTGGTCATTTCAAGTGGTACGAAATGCGTGCTCTCCTGATAGTAGAGTTGGAGATGGGGTCCTCTTGGCCAGCACTTGGCTAAATGCCTTTTGGAAGGATTCTCACATCACCGTTACGTTAAGGAACGTCGGCCCTATATATGTGCGCCCTCCCTTCTTAAGAGCATCATCTGGGTGTAGACGGCATGGCTTGAAGGGTCAACGGCGTGGTACTCGGCCGGTTCTTCGGGCCGCTATGAGGAGCGGGGTGGTAAAGAGTCGAGCTTGAATATCGAAAGCTATTTTTGGAGGGGCAAGCACGAGATACCCTTAAATACCTACGGAGTAAGTTACTTGGAGGCAAGTAGCATAACTCCATCTTCACCAAGTGAAAGGCGGGGTTTGACACACAGCGCCAGCAGACCTCCAACGTGTTGCCGCGAGTGTGGTTTCGGATACCTCCTCCCCAGGAACGCTGTACTGTCTGGATGCAATGAAATCGGACTAGGCCTGGTTCCAAACTGAGCCACGATTCATTCGGCCCATGGTGGTTGGCCCAATGCCAGAGAATCAAATAATACAAGGGTCTCCATGAATGGCACAATCCGACTCAAACGAGACGCGACCTGTGATGGCAAGTGGCAAAAGAAAAGGGTATGTGGAAGCGAAGAACCTAGCCATACAGTCGGTCCTCTCTCTATCTGGGTATCATGCCATTCCATCCATCCCAAACGCCAGCAATGCAAAACGCCCAACCCAGCCTTCCCAGCGTACCACACATCTATTGATCCAAAGCCACCACTTCGCTCCCAGCGGGGAGACTCCATAATCGACCTCTCCCCGAATATCTCGTCGTCCAGTTGTATGAGGAGACTCGATCGATCTTGTCCTGCACCCTGCGGCTCCTTGCCCAACGGTTCAAACATGTAGCTAGTCGGCTCTGAATCGGTCGTCGGGCCACGGCTCACAGTCCATATCGAGTCACACACTCCTCCTTATGCGTCTCCAAACAATCCAGCGCACATACTCTCGTCCCGCACTTCAAACACCTCACCCGCCCCCAGTACCCGCAAACTTCACAAAACACCCTCGTCGGATATCTGTCGTCCAGGTTCCCCAGCGCCTCGAGATACGACAACGGCGGGTGCGCCAATAACCCGCGCAGCTCCGCATCGGACGGCATCTCTGGCACGCGAGACGCGAGCAGCGGGTCGCCATCGCTGGGGTGCGGTGCAGGCGGCGCCTTGCACGGCAGCGGCAAGACGGGGGGCAGGTCGTCCGTCATGGCGACGTCGTCATCATGCGTAGATTGTCTGGGCGTGGAGGCCGCGGTGTCCTTTTTGCCGACCCCAGGCCGCTTGCTCGCGTTGGACGACGGCTGGGCCTCGAGGGCCTGCAGGGCGAGGTAGTCGTCGAGGTGGTTCGCAAATGTCTTTTGGGACTGCATCACTTTGCGGACGTTGGGGGTGAATTTCGTTTGCGCTATCGACCATTAGTTTCTCGCGCGCGCTCTCAGCAATCCCGGGTGTTCTATGGGTGTGATTAATACGTACTGCGGCCGCTCTTCGCCGGTAGAGGAATTGTATTGTCCCTTGAGCCGTCCTTCCCCAGGGCCTCGACCTCTTTCCGGATCTTGTTTTCCTGTCTCGCCGTCAAGTCGCTCAGGCTTGGCCCTCCCCCGGTCGGGTTACGCGCCCGTTTCCTGTTGACAGGCTGGATGCCAGCCGATCCGGGAGCTATGGCCGTGTCTGGCACGTAGGCCCATCCCGGGGCGGACGTTGTTTTCGCGCCGGCGAGCTCGATGACGCCAAAGTTGTTCATGATGCTGGGCCCGGCGCCGGGTATCTATTCGCGCACCATGGGCAGGGTGGTTGGTTGTGAAGAGGTCCAAAAGCAGGTAGATGCCTCAACCATCTCTCGCAGCCGCGTGGGAAGATACATACATACTAGATGCATGGGCTCCGCCAAAACGCCGGGAAAATCCGCCTTGAAAGCTTCACCCAATCAAGTGGGGCCAATTCAACCCGCCTGCAACAAACCCGCTGGTCTTGCCGAAGCACCAGACACCTCATGCTCTCTCCAAACACCCGAACGCCCATCCCGTCGCCTTGTCGTCTGAGCTCCTTCAACCCCCCCAATCTAGCACTCGCCACCCACGACACGACACCCCAACATGTCCGGAGCTTCGAGAATCCTCTTTGCGAGCACGACCCGAGCCCTGGGCGCGCGCACCTTCAGCACGTCCGCGAGACGGATGGCCGATGCGGCGCCTCTTCCGGCAAAGCGGCCGATGGGAGCTTTCCGCGGAGGGTGAGTCCCCCCTTGTATACCCCTCCGACTGGAGAGACGCATCCGGGTGCTTCTGGTCTGGACCGAGCAATATGGGGGGAGGGGGATGTGTGCGGCTGGCTCTTGCAACGGAATACTGACTGGCGCAGACTGTTTGGCTTCCTGTTCGGATGCGTCCTTTCCGGCAGCGCCGTTTACACCTATCTCGTTCAGGAGTTCAAGGTTTCCAACGACATGCTCAGCGAGGATATTTACGTTCGTCCCACCCCCCTGATATGATCTATGCTCTCTCTCGATGTGTGGCAATGCCCACACTGGCTCTGGGTTTCGGGTCGGAGAGGCGATAACCGCTGCTAACTTTTGCTACAGACCCTGCAAGCTTCCGTTACCCGCTTGACAAACTATGTAAAGGCCCTTGAGCAAAGAACACAGGAGAAGAAATAAAGAACAGTGTTGGGCACGGGTCCAAGGGTAGGAGGAAGGCAGGTCAATAACAAGGTCGTTGCTGTCCCCGGATATTGCTGTGGCCACATCATGTAGCGCCAATTGCTAGGAATATGGTACGCGTGTAACATCACAACTGATATACATATAAAGTTAAATCATTCATGTCGAAAACACGGGACAACAGATGCGTCCCGGACATTGTGACAGCGAGAAGTACTTGTGCAACATGATAATTTTGATCCAGCAGCGTCCGCACATATTACAGAAACTACAAAGCCTTGATACTCAAGCCAAGCCAACGCGTTGAAACCCACCCTCGGATATCATAAAGGGCACCCTTTCATTTTAAAACCAGTACATTGCTCGTCAAAATTACAGCTCATCGTGATCCTCATCTTCCTTCTCCTCGGCCTTCTCAGTCTTTTCCTCCTTCTTCTCCTTCTCCGCCTTCTCCGAAGCGGCAGGGGCAGCTTCCTCGGTGCTCTCCTCCTTGAAAGAGATGCCGGCGTTGTGCTTGCCCTTCTCCTTGATGAATTCAATCAAACCCTCAACAGTACGGGCACCATCGTAGGTAACGGCGTCGTCCTTCTTGCCAGCGGGGAAGAGCTTGATGGTAGGGAAGCCAGAAATGTCATCAGGAACATCGTTAGCGGTGGCATCGACCTTGGCGATGACAACCTTGTCCTTGAACTCGGACTTCTTGTACGCCTCGCCGAGCTGATCGTACTTGGGGGCAAGAGCCTTGCAGTGACCGCACCAGGGGGCGTAGAACTCAACAAGGACATCCTTCTTATCGTCAAGGACAATCTGGTCGTAGTTCTTGGCGACAATGATGGTAACAGGACCGTCCTGGTTCTCAGGAATGGGCTCAGACTTGATGCTAGGCTCCATCTTGCCAGCTGAGTAGTCGTCAGCAAACTTGGCAATGGCGTCCTTGGTGATCTTCTTGTCCTGGTCGTAAGGGAACTTGAGGTTCTTGACAGTCTCGTGGATGGCGAAGGCAGGGAACTTGTCAGTCTTCAGGTTCAGGTTGCCAGCGTGAGCGCCGAATGACTTGGCGTCAATGGTGGCAAAGTTAATCTTGCCCTTGTACTTCTCGGCGATGGGCTTGAGGTCCTTGGAGAGGTCGTCGCGCTCCTCCTGGGTCTCAGCGAAGATGTAGGCGAGGGGAATACCGGCGGACATGTAGTCAGCATAGGTCTCAGGGCCAACCTCTCCGATGAGAGGAGTGGCAGCAGTCTTGGCAAATTTCTCAATGGCCTCAGCGTCAAACTTCTCAGTGTAGGTGTTCTTGCCCTCGTCGAAGGACTTGTACAGAACAATAGAGGGGAACTTGACACCCTCGGCTTCGGCAACAGCGGCATCGTTGACACCGCCGAACAGATAGTTGTCACGGAGCTTCTCGGCGACAGTGGTGAAGGTCTCGTTGGAGGCCTTATCATCGGCAGCAAGGTAGGCGACGACAACAACCTTGTCGGCCGTCTTGAACTCCTCGAGGGTATCCTTGGTCAGGAGAGAAACGGCAGGCAGCGACTGCTTGACCATGTAAGAGGTGATGGCAGCAGCCTTGCGCTGGCCATTGTAGGGGGCGACATTGTCAACGCCGCGGAAAACCTTGAGGGTAGGATAACCCTCGACGCCGTGCTCCTTGCAGAGTTCAGCTTCCTCAGTGCAGTCAATCTTGGCGAGCTTGATGTCCTTTTCTTTCAAAGTGGTAGCAGCCTCCTCGTATTCGGGGGCGAGGGCTTTGCAGTGTCCGCACCAAGGGGCGAAGACTAGGGAGCGAGCGTCGAGTTAGCGTATGAAGAGGCTTACAAATGAGGCGAGGCAACCAAGTTGCCACCGTGGCCCGGCTGGCGAGACAGGTCTACTCAACGGGGAGCAGGGCAGGAACTTACACTCGGCCAGAACCAAGGGATTGGCCTTGACAAAGTCGTTGAAGGTCTTCTCGGTCAGCTGGTGAACATCGGAGTCGTCGGCAGATGCCAGGGAGGCAAAGGCGGCCAAAAGGCCAAAGGCGATACGCTTGTGCTGCATAATGTGTGTGATGTGTGGACTGTGCGAGCTAGAGCTACACTAGACGAGCCTGCATAAACGTGCGAAGGCAAAAGAAGACGGGAGGTATTTTCCGAAGCCCAAATCAAAAGCCCACGATGGATTAAAATGCGGCTGGTGGATGGGGATGGAAAGGAAAGATTCAAGAGGTGCCGTGGGAGGACGATGGGATCAGAGAGGTTTTGTACACTCGAGAAGACGCGGCTGGAGTCCAATTGAACAAGTGTCCCTTTTCCCTAGGGACTAGCTGTGCTCAGAGTGCAGCCGCTCCATGCCACAAAGGGAGCTGGCAAGCTTACTGTAGCCTCCGGTACCTTTTAGGATTCAATGTTTGCAGCTACTACTACGTACCTCTGTACGAAGTACTTGGCGGCGCTCAGCCCACCAGACCTGCAACCAGCGAGTCACAGCCCGTGCTGCGCTTCTGGTCCACCGCGGAGTGGGGCCTATGCATCAACTGTACCTCCAGGGAGCTGCCATGCAATCGAGCTGTAGCTCGCGCCTACTGTATTCGTAGTACTACTTGGCCAGACCAGACGGCTCAAGCTGCTAGCCAAGCCTCGACCCCGTCTCTCCGTCACCATCTATCTCAATAATCACTTAATTGACAGTCGATTGTCAGCTCAGGGTGTTGCCTTGCTTCGTATGTACCGCGTCCTCCGTACTGTGTGTGTAGACTAACCAGATGGCTTTATTGGCTCAGCCTCAGCCTCTTGTCTGCATCGCATGCCGCATCCAGCTGCATGCATCCATTCCACGACGCCAAACCCGTGCGTCGAGTTGTGTCCGCCAGCGAATGATGAACCCAGTGCTGGATTCGATGGCTGGTCATTTGCGAACGCATCGACTATCTGTAGTTTTTGATGCCTCCCCCGGAGTCAGAGCAGCGTCTCGAAAATCACCAATTCGATCTTGATGATCGCCTCCCGCCATCCGAATGCCGTCCCCACCCACCGACTGCCATCAGTCAATCAACAAATTATTACTAATTGATCGACTCTGGCCATGTCGTCCCACACGCATGAGTCTTTGCTCTGATGGCTGCTGCATTGCCCTGCAGCCAAAGACAGCAGCAGGCCTGATTGCTGAGAGAGAACAAGTGGCCACAAGCTCATTGGCGCTCCGCACAGGATTACTGACTGCCAAGCTGCCACCTGTTGTATCCCGAGCATCTCTGCAGATCCCAGTCTGCGATATCTTCAAACATTCAGTCAGTTGTCGCAAGCGCGGAGTCGACTGGCGGCGTCACTGTCAGTGTGGGAGATTACAGTTCCCGCCGTAGTGGCCTGTTGTCAACATTGCACTTCAGCATTTCGGTGCGGACAAGTGCAAGGTGCTGGAATATGCAATAGCCCCGGCCAATCATTCTTTTGTCCCCAATCACACGGCTGCAGAACGAAACGATTGTGACTACCAGGTGTGCGAAATTGCCGTCTCTTGAAAGTCTAAGTCTTCAATCCAAAGACTTTGACTCTAGATGGACTCATCTGGGGGTTGCGCTGATATAAATGGACATGTGCTAAGTAATTCATTCGTGATTACGGGCTAGGGTAATCGATGACTTAGACGTAATGCTTATTCCCGTTCACGAAAGCGCAGTTGAGCAGAGTACTGTCCAGGCGAGTACTAGTTGCAAGACGGTTGAATGATATGGATAGGAAACTAAAGGATAAGGGAAGGTATACAACTTTTGTTCGGTGCTATCTATCTTAGGCGTCTACCTTCCCACTGGCCCAGCAAACCTAACAATTTCGTCGACCAATTCAACTCGTAGCCTGTCAAAGCCGTCCCTTTTACTTGGCTTCGTACGACAGCTTCCTTCACTTGGCAGCTTCACCTCAACGCCGCGGCCGATAACTTATAATAACCCAGCCAAATTCGTCACTAGCTACGGATCTTGTAATAGCTTCAATTAAACGGCTACCGCAGACCTCCTTCTGCATTTCTTCCAAGGGCAGCTAGTAGAAGCGAGTACTTAGCAAGCCCGCACGCCGCAATCTTCCGTTCAAGGTCTTCAGAAGCTACTACAGCTCTCAACAGCCTGTCAAGGTGATTGCTTTAAATGGACTCGATCAACAAGATAAGCGGCGGCTCGAATGGCTATGTCGCGAGTACAAGAAACGTTGAAGCTACGGTATCTATCAGAAGGCCTTCTGGTCAGGAAATCAGGCCCTCTAGCAACTAATATCACACGGAACGTCTCTATAGATTGTAGCTGATCTAGTAGAAGCAAGTAAAACTTCCTTTATCCTTGCGATGCTCGCTCGGCACATTCTCATTTTTGGTATTGGCGAGTCTGGCACCCCATCGCTGCCGCCAGTATGGATTTTGCTTTCACTCATAACAAAGGAAGTGCGGTGATTGATGTTCTAATATAATAGTATCTAACTTGACCTAACTATTATCCGAGTACTATATTATATATATAAGAGAATAGACGTGCTGTTGAAGCTTACTAGGTTCCTAGTAGTAAATAGTTTCAGTTTATAGCAGAGTATATTTACCTACTAAGAAGTATAAACTAATATATTACAATATCAAATTAATCTAAACTAAAGAAGAGAATTACTTAAGACACCTAGTAATACTATTTTGGCCGTACCTAGGCCAGGGAGCCGCATCGGACCCGGCCCGGGAACCGCCCCACTTATCGGCGGGGCCGAGCCGGCGCGGCTAATGGAGTACAGAGCGGTCGGATTTGGTCTGCGTGGACAATCAAATGGTGAGATTGATTAACGGATACTAAGAATAGAGAGACTCAGACGTATAGTCGTGAGGGTGAACCTCGACTTGTAGTTGAAGTTATTCTCGCATTGGGAATGGGGAAACGCGCTAGGCATCAGACTCGGAAACGGAAACGGAAAGCGGGAATGATGAGAAGAGGTTGGTCTGATAAGTGTGCGCGGCTTACTGCTGGGTCAAATGTAATAATCTATCTACATAGTCGGAATACGATTCAACTTTCAGATAAAGCGACGTAAAGGTAATACGACAGTGGCAATTCGGACATGTCTTTCTACTCGAGGATATGTACTACGGACACGCCAAGTCCCTTGTCCCGGGGAACAGTCGTACGTTGTAGGAGCTGCCCACGTTCATGTATCCCTGGCATTCCCGATGATGATAGCTCTCTTGTCTTGGTGTGCCGCTTGTCCTACGAAAGGGACCTGTGTGGCATCGTGCCCCGGCCGCTACAATATAACAACGGGAAAAAATTCCCTAACAAGGATACTTGCAGACGTTTATTTAAGCGTATATGACGTATGTTTTTATAGTCTTGAATTGTGAAACCATGTATCGGGGTCACTACCGCTATACAAACATCGGTTGTAGTTGTGATGGTAATCGAACTGCCCTTTGCCCCAACACATCATTCTACCCAACCCTAGTTCACGGGGAACTCTTGAGACGCTCCAACCGGCCCAAGGCCATCTTTGGTAAACGCAATGATGTGACCCGTGTTACTGCACGCGGGAATTAGCACATTTTCTTAAACACATGTTTGTGATTTCCCTGGCTGTAAACTTACTACGAATACGTCGTGGGTACCTGGGCCGTGACGGATCCATCTTCAATGTCGGCAAAGCCAATCGGCCAGTACGATGCATTGCTGTTGGAGAGGTAAAAGACGACCTGGTCCGGGTCCAGCTTCCAAGTTATGTTCAAGGGAGAACCCCTGGTTGCCCCCGGAGGGGTGTCGATGAGCAAGGCAAGCGCCGAAGAAGCAAAGGCAAGCGCCACGTGTGTTGACAGACGCATGTTGAGAATTTGTTTAAGGTTTTAATAAACCGAGCCACGAGATTGAGTGGTAAATATCTTGGAATAAGAGTAACTTGTTGTTGCGCGCTGCTCGGTTGCTCGATGTGAAAGCTGGGAACGGCGCAGAGTTTATATAGACTCTGAAAAGTCTTGCCTGAAGCCGCACACGAATCCGTATGCTCGTCAAGAGTCAACACACGTAGACTGCCGGAAGTGACGTGTAGTATGGAACAAGATTGAAAACGGTACTGGGTAAGACATTGCCGTAAGAGGGTTGCATTCCCATGCATCACGAGTCATAAAAGTGCATGGTTTTCCCATTTGTGCTGCCTTGGTCGCTGCATGTATCTTCTAGTAATACTGAACTTATCAAGGACCACAGCGTGCCACTTGTGACCCGAGAAGATACTCCCTTGTAGTTCGTACATGCATAGGGTGTAGTATATTGAGACCCAAGGGGGGAAACCAGCGGCCCGACAAACGTACTTGCCTACGTGCGCGGCTTCTGTTTCTGGAGACAGCTCAACTCTCATAATACACCTACACACTGTCAGGTTCTAGTAGGGATTTGTCATAAACTGTCGCGTAATAAGTGACGAGGTAGGTGACAGTCACCAAAACACCTCGTGGCGTGCTTAGGTAGGTAGTAGTTTTCTCTAAGCTGCATACAATTGTACATAACAATATTTTGTTTCTGTGCCCAGAAAAACAGGCTAGAAATCATCTTGGCACGAAATCAATATTCTTTGTTGGGTTTACTGCTCTAACGTGTAACGGGGGATATATGCTGTGTCGTGAGACTTGTTGTTTACTAAACTTCTGGTGGGAACTGGTTATAATTGCCGTTTTCCTACCCCTACAGAGGGGTTTCTTGTCATTGATCAAAGTCTAGAAGACTTTTCAGCCTTTTCAACTTCTGATAATAACGCTCTTGGTACCTAACAATTACGTCAATTTTCCAACCCAATCTTGTTCAGCATATTTCAGCGGGTCAACATACAAAAATGGTTGAAAACTACTATGCAACAGGATGAGGGGTTTGAAACACTGGATAAGAAATTACGTCAGAAAGGCGCTCACTGGCTGTCAGTCAGTCGCCTTGGAGGCCGCGATACAGTCATCTGCACTGCATTCCCAATACACTACATTGTTAGTAATGCTGTCCACCGCGACGGGACTGTCGTTGGTAAAGTTGAACGAAAGGAAAGGCGGCTTCAACTCCCTCGTTTGGGCTACATGCGCACGTCTGGCCATGATGCTCCATCAAGTCTCGTTGACGGCACGCATGTCAGCCATCAACACCACCTCTGATCCCGCCTAGAACACTCCGTACTATACCTTGCTTTATTTCAGTCATCTACATCTATTACATCATGACGGCATATCTATTCATTTCACACACCCTGTCCTCAAACTAGTAGGCCGCTTCACATCAAACCCCCCTATTTTGAAAAGTTCCGCCCCATTGCTCTCCAAAAATAAAAAAAATAAAGAAATAAAAAAAAAATACATCAGTCCTCAGAATTCAAAATGCATCGGCAACCTCCTTCGGCGCCGCTCTGTGATACTGATTCGGCCACTTAACCGGCACACCCAGCCTCTCCGCAGCATTAAGCACAAAGTCAGGCTCCCGCAGGAAATGCCTCGCCACGAGGACCAAGTCGGCCGACTGCTCCCCGCCCTCCTGCACGACGTCCCGGGCAAACTCGGCGCCGTCAATGTTGCCCACGGCGCCGACCACCATGTCCAGCCCGTCAGCGCGGAGTGCGCGGCGAATCTGGCGCGCCAGGTCGGTCTGGTACGTCTTTTCGCGGAGCAGCCTCTGCCGGGGGTCGTTGCCGCCGCTGCTGACGTCGAGGGCGTCGACGCCCAGCGCGGGCAGCAGCTTGGCGAGCCTGACGGTGCTGTCGAGGTCCCACGAGGGCTCGCCCGTCCATTCCATCCACTCGGTGGCCGAGACGCGCAGCCAGAGGGGCATGGAGTCGGGGATGACGGAGCGCACCGTCTCGATGACCTCGCGGAGGAAGCGGGTGCGGTTGTCAAAGGAGCCGCCGTAGCTGTCGGTTCGTTTCTGGCGTGTGTTAGTTTTTCAATCTTTCTTTTTTCTCGTTTTACTTTTTTTCGTCAAGACAGGTCCGTACGTTGGAGATGGGAGACAGGAACTCGGTGATGAGGTAGCCGTGGGCGCCGTGAATCTCAATCAGGTCGAAGCCGGCCTTGACGGCTCGCAGCGCCGCCTCCCCGAAGCTCTTGACCAGGCCCCTGATGTCGTCGACGCTCAGCTCGGCCGGCGTGGCGTGGTCCTCGGAAAAGGGAATCGCACTCGGGCCAACGACCTGGTCGGGCCAGCCGCCGTGCTCCTCGCCCGCGAGCGCCTTGTTGGCGGAGCCGCCGATCCACGGCGCCAGGGTGCTCGCCTTGCGGCCGGCGTGGGCAATCTGGATGCCGGCCTTGGTGTTCTGGCTGTGGACGTAGTTTACGATCCTGCGCAGCGGCTCCATCTGCGAGTCCTGCCAGAGGCCCGAGTCCTGGGGCGAGATGCGGCCGCGCGGCTCGGTGGCCGTGGCCTCGACCATGACGACGCCGGCGCCGTGGAGCGCGAATTGGCCCAGGTGCACGAGGTGGTAGTCGGTGAGGTGGCCGTCGTCGGCGCTGTACTGGCACATGGGCGACACGACGAAGCGGTTGTGCAGCTCGAGGGACCGCATGCGCAGCGGCGTGTAGAGCGTCGGTGCCGTCGAGGCGTCTGCCGCGGTGCCGGCCGCGGGTTCCTGCGCCGGCGTGTAGAAGGGGATGCCGGACTGGCCCTTGTTGCGGAGGTCGAACCGGGGCATTTTGAGGCCGTGGTGGTGGTGGTGATGATGATGATGATGGACGCTCAACGGTTGGGGGTGATGCGAGGTCGTGATAAAGGAAGGAGGAGGTTTGATGCGCTGCGCAATACGGCGAGCTAGCCGACGGTATGCGCCGGGTCGGACAGTCGCCATTTGACGGTGGTGAGGGACGACATTTGCACAAGCGTGAAATAGCTCACTTTTTATGCCAATGACAACATCGCCATGATGCTTAGAAATACCAAGGTACCATTTGTGCCTGAATTGGACTAATCCACCCCCCCTTGTACGCCCTTGCACAAGCTCGTGGCGCCTAGATTGCGCGAGTCTAATTGGCGCAGGCATGGACCAATGGCGTGTAAGACATTCGACGGCGCCGGTTCCTCATTTGTACACCAAACCGCCTCGACATAGGTCAAGATGTACGTGTTGCAAAGGCAATGCGAAACGATGGCCTAAACGCCTCGGACCTAACCACAACTATAAGAGACATTCAACGTTTTTTCATATTGTACAAGCGCAGCCATCCTAGAGCTAGAGTATCGGGTATCCGCTGTCATCACGCACCGCAACCCAGGCCAGCAACTCCTGCGACATGGGATACGCCTCCCAGCCTCTCTCGACGATTTCGCAAGCCCACCCCTTGGCCACGACGACATCCCACGCAGATTTCCCCTGATACCCTGCCGAGTACATGACCTCGGCCACGGCAATATTAAACAGGCGGCCCGGCATGCCGGCGCCCATCTCCTGAATGACCCCGTAGCAAAAGAGCCAAAAGGCAAACAGCGTGTTGGAAAAGAGAAACTCGAAGCCGCTCACCCCGAAACTACGCTCAAACGTCTTACTGCTCTCATTGTACGCGGGCGGCAGCGGCTCCGCGACATGCGACGCGGTCCTCAGGGCCGCGCACAAAACGAGCCCGATCTTGATGCCGCCGAGGGCACCGCCGCCGTCCGCGACCCCTTGGAACCCGATGGCCGCAGCGAGAGAAACGGCCAGGTTCAGAGTGGTGATGCACGCGCCGAGCAGGGCGTCGCCGTAGCTGAATGCCTGCAGGGCGAGAAGGGCGTTGGCGGTGGCTAGGCCGACGGCGCCAAAGGTTCCTTGGATGAGGAACAGCCAGGCGGCTTCTTCGACGAGTAGAGTGAGGATGTGGGTGATGCGCGAAAATAAATGGAGGTGGTAGACTTCGAAGAGGACGAGCTGGAATTGGAGCGCCTTGGCACCGAGGTTGCGTACGGGGTGGAAGGCGTATGGGAACGAGTAGTTCTTTGCTATCCACTTGTGCTCGAGGTTGCATAGGACGAGGAAGCTGATGACGAGGGCGAGCGTCAGGTCTACTGCCGATAGGAGATACTCGTATGTGATGAAGGGGCCCTTCTCGGCGACTAGGAGCAGGATGACGGGGCTTGTGGGCGACGTGATGGTGACGAGGCCGAGACCGAGTATGTTGGAAAGGATGAAGTTGGCTGCTGTGGTAGACATTGTGTCCGTCTGGGAAGAAGGCGGGTATGCCGTGCTCATGGGGAGGACGTACTCGCGTCCAGCCTTTATAGGGCCTTTGCCGTTGGTGACGACGAGCGGCGGGATTCTAATTTAGTGAGGCATCTGGTGGGCTTGCCATTGTGTGGCTTGTATGCTGTGTCGAGCAAAGAATGGGGAAAATGCTGTGAATATACCGTGCTGTTTCCGGCTTCGTTCGTGATGTGCATGATATTGGTGTCGCTGCTGATTATGCCTGTCCCTGATCCGTCAAAGGGTCGTGATGCCTGGGTTGTTCTGGGACTAGTTCATAGATCAACCTAGTCTGCCTTCCTCCCCTGAGTAAACTAAACTTGGGGTCTTTGCTAAAATATGTCGGGGAGGGACCAGCCTTTGTACCAACCGAACGGAAAGTTTGTGAGCTTCAACATCATCAACATAATTGTCGCGCATCCGCTGGTTTGGAAGACGGAACTTTTGTTAATTCATGAGCAAGTGCAACAAGAGGAGGTGGACGGGCCAAAAGCAAAGGTCTAAAGGACATATAATTGCCCCTATAGCGCGAGATACTTGGCCTATTTCGGATCTTCATGCTTCAGTATATCACTTATTCATTACAGGGGCCCCTCTCTGTAATGAACATGACTATTGTTCTCGGAATTGATGTGCACAATGGCCATGTGCCGCCACGGAACTAGTCAAAGCAACCACCCTTCACGGCCACCGCACATGCTATTCTCTTCTTGTTTTTGCGCTTCGGGACTAGTTACCCAGCCGGGGACTACAATGATCTTGACTACTTTCAGAATCGGCCAAGTGCATCGTTATGATAATTAGTATACATATGCCCGGTCTGGCCCTAACGCGGTAATAGTACCAAGCCAACATTCCAAATGACATGCCGAGCCCGACGTGATGCGATAGCTCACTCATCGTCCTCGTAGTTTTCTTTAAAATCAGACGACGTTCTTTTCAAGCCTCTCATTGCGCTTCTCCCAACTCCGTTTTGCACGGCGCTGCCTTTGTCCAACTACACAACCACGACGCCAGTCTTCCAACACCAGGCAGCACTCCAACTTTTATCATCGCACTGTTATACACTGCCATCATGCATGGTTTCACGAGACGTCTTTGCTTATTAACAAGTCTTAGGGATGACAGTACTTTGGTCGTTTGGTCGTGATGTCTTGTGCCCTGAGCTGCATTGTCAAACTTGGATGGGGAGGCGACCATGTTTCTCTTTCCGCTTTCGTAGACCGTTGTAATCGTCGCAACACGGAATGTAAGTGCAGTTAGTATAGTACGCACTTCAAGTTGTGAATTGGATCTGCCGAGTGATTAGCCTGGCTTAGCGAAAGCGTTGGCGCTACACGGCACTAGTTGGTTGCGAACCCGAGACCAACAACTTCACATTCCTGCTTGGACGGTTCTGTAAAATCCCTGGTTTCCATGACTGAAGGCACGTTGGGTTGGTTGTGCTTGGTGCTCATAAGTGAGCAGAGAAGCCTGAGAGCTGTTCCCTGCCGAAATGGGCTGTCGGCGCTGTCGGTTACTACGACTTAACAAGGGGTATATTTGATGTTGAAGAAATTTATATACGGCAAGAGACGAAGACTATTTAACCAGTTTCGGTATTTTTTTTATCGTGCTTCATCCATTAATACGTTTTAATGGATTAATGATAGTGTATTAATATATACTTCGTGATGGGCAAGTACATTCTTCCACATGTACAACCAGCCAAGGTTAGTTTAATATCCGCAATTGTGGCTCCTCATGGAAGGAAACTTCATCATTCTATAAAACCTCAGAATACGGCTCTAGTAGTTCTGCGTCAGTTGTTACTATTTACCGATAAACTATGATTCGAAGCACAAACACAATGCTGTATAGATAGTGCCGGCAAAGCTGGGGACCCGAATTGCCCTCTCGCCAGGTCGAGAAATGTTGTGGAGCGGAATTTTCAACTCGCGTGTAAGTAATTTGAAGCCAGTGACTTCTTGCTCATATCACAAGTCATTACAGCTAACACCAGTGTAAAGTCTTTTCGTTCCACAACCGGAGTAAACTGGCAACAAATATGGCTTATAGACCGCAGATGCTCGATTATTCCTCTCTGATAACTTCTATATGCTCATTCTGAACTACAAAGTTTTCTCATATATGTCAAAACGGCTTCATTCTTCTAGGATTTCGAGTCATGTGCTCTGCGAAACTTTCAACAACTTCTCAAAGTTGGGCGTACCAAGACCAGTAACGGGATCCCACCCCTAGGCAAACGTTAGCGAAAAAAGAACCCCCACGTACAGAAGCACCAACGCCTGGAGGAATTTACCTGAACAGCCTGGAATCCCTTTCCATTGATGTTTGCGCACCCGCTATTCGAACCGTTCGTAATGTCCGTCAATGCAGACGCAGCAGAGCTATACAGCCATGGGTTCAAGAATCCCAGAGGCTTCTTACCATTCAACAAGCGATCACTGTTTATCAGCTGGATAATGCTGGCAAACACGGGGGCTGAAGCACTCGTGCCCATAACACCAAAAGTGCTTCCGTTCACGACAATCGGATAATTGGTAGCAAGGGCAGAAACATCGGGGTACGCCCGACCAGAGCTGTTAAAGTACGGATTCTGGCTCTGGTGCGTCTGGTCATTCTTCAGCCACTGGTTTACAGTATCGGTCTGATAGCTGGGCTGGGCAAAAATCTCGGAGAAGCCACTTCCCGAGCCAGACCAGGCTTTTTCAGGTCCGGTGCCGTCTGTGCCACCGACGGTGGTCACCCAGGGGCAGGCCGCTGGGAATGCGGTTTCGAATGTCCCTCCCGGGCAGCTACCGCCCACACCGGAGTCTCCGGAAGAAACAAGGACGGAGACACCACGGGCGCCGAGTTTGGAGAACAAGTCGCAGCATTTGGTGGCGTAGTCGTTTGGTACGGTGTATTCGACGTCGCCATAGGAAATAGAGATGGTGTTGGGGAGGTCTTCATCGGATAGGCCGAGGAAATAGTTTAAAAATTCAAGGTATGGCTCATTATCGGGGACGCTGCCGTTAGTGGGTGGTGAACCTCCAGTGCTGTAGAACACGTTGGGGATTTTCTCTGTAATAGCCCGAGCATATTGTGTATCTAGATTGGCTTCAACGCCCGGGTTGTTCTCAGGACAACCACCGTCGTTGATGGAAACGCAGGAGAAGCTCTGGTCTGTGTTGTTCTGCGTAGCTTGCTTGCTCATGAACGTGGCCAAGTCAGACTTGCTGGCAAACTGGCCAATGAAGCCGGCGATTCCCATGCGCCCGTTGGAGTAAGCCTTGGCACTGCCGTAGCTATACAGGTCAGACAAACAAGACGGGTTGCTACTTTGGCACGAAGCTTGGGTGGATGGAGTATTGTTGTTTTGGAGGGAGATCTGTGTGAGACGGACGGATTTCACGCCAAAATAGGTCGTGGGCTGGACGACGTCAATGTGTTGCTTGAGGTTATCTGGAAGGCTGTATTGGAGCGTTCTCATGATGACC